ATAGAATAGAATAGAATAGAATAGAATAGAATAGAATAGAATAGAATTCTTTATTGGCCAAGTGTGGTTGGACACACAAAGAGTTTGTCTTGGTGCAAATGCTCTCAGTATACATATAAAAGAAAAGATACATTTGTCAAGAGTCAAGAATCATAAGGTCCAACACTTAATAATAGTCATTGGGTACTATAAGCAATCAAATCATACTAGGAAACAGTCAATTTAAATCATAAGGCTACAAGTGACAAAGTTACCTTCCTTTATTCGAAATAGTGGGCTGACTTGAAACATTTCTTAAGCCTAGAGCAAACTTCTGGAGCATTACTGCACGCCTGTCATTCAGAGGCTGTTGCATAGCTGTTGCATTTATCCTTAAACCCTCCAGCTGCTCCATTTTGTAGTTTGAATGTATCTTGACTTCTGCCTGCCTCCCAAGAAGACAACAAAGAATCAATCTGCATTCAGGATGCACATCTTCATACAACATATAGTTGTGATTTGGGAGGTGCATCAGTGGTGGTATTCAAATTTGTTTACTACCAGTTCTGTAGGCGTGGCTTGGTGCGTGTGGCAGGGGAAGGATACTGCAAAATCTTCATTCCCTCCTTACCCCACTAACCTGCTTTCCAGCTCTGTTCTCCTGTGCAGGGCAACAAAAGAAGACCCAGCCAATCAGCTGGGACTCGGGAGGCAGAGAATAGATGGGGGTGGGGCCAGTCAGAGGTGGTATTGGCTGGTTCTCCGAACTACTCAAACTTTCCGCTACTGGTTCTCCAGAACCGGTCAGAACTGGCTGAATACCTCCTCTGGTGTGCATGTTGGCCTGTCTGCAACCATCTGCAACCTACTCTTATCCATCAACCCCTCTGTAGCATAGATATGCATTAAAATGCCTATGTGCGGTAGCAAACAAGTCTAAACCAAGTTCTAGAAACATTCCCCAACCACATCCCTTCATCAAACTAATAGCCCCTATATGTCATTTATGGCCACAGCATTTTCTAGCAAGCACCTTTGCTATCTCTTATGTGTGGTTAACATTATTGGTTTCTGCTGGCAACCTGGTTGTTGGTTTATCTGATCCAGGTTGCTGAATCTTAGCTTCTGGGTATGGCAAGCTTCTGGGTATCCAGCACTAATTCACTATGCCATAATTTGTGACATAGTTCTGACTGAAGCTCTTTCATAAGCTGAAGTGAAAGTACCAGCCCTTCAATAGTGCAGGTATTAAAGTAGGGATAGGCAACTATGGCTCCTTTAAGACCTGAGCCAGTCATGGAATTCTGGGAATTGAAGTCCATTGGTCGTAAAGGGGCCATAACAGCCCACTCATGTGTTAAAGGATTTGCCTGAGGTGGGTCTGGAGAACTTACAGAGAATCTCACTTGAATGTAGAGCAGCCTTGACTAGTGTTTGAGGGAATGGCTAATTCTCTCCAGCCCAGCTAAAATACAGCCTTGTCAGGGGCGGGGAAATGAAGTGGGTACGGCTACTCTGTACATACTGTCTTGTGCTGTCAGGAAAAAAATCACAATCAGGCATGTCTGCCTTGGTCAAAAGGGTCAAGATGGAAAATGCAATGTTGTGAAAAAGCTCGGCCTTTTTTAAATGTGCGGTTCAACTTCCATTGTACTGTCACGGCCACCATTTTGACTTTTTTGACCATATGCCCTCGGCCATAGTAAATAAACAAAGGCCTGGAGAGAGCAGAGTCACACTGGTCCTGGGTGGAGTCAAAGCTAGTAGTAGTCCAAGACAGACAAAAAATGAGTGGGGAAAATTTCTTTTTGTTATATTCCAGAGTAGTGTTTCTCAATCTTGGCAACTTGAAGATGGGTGGACTTCAAGTCCCATTGAGCCTGATTTTATTACTTTTCAATGCCAGAGTTGTTAAGCAAATCACTGCAGTCTTTAAGTAAATCAGATGGTTGTTAAAGCAAAGCTGGCTTTCTCTATTGACTTGCTTGTCAGAAGTTGGCTGGGAAGGTCGGAAATGTTGATCATGTGACTCTGGGATGCTGCAATGGTTGTAAATACATACTGCTTGCCAAGGGCCCAAATTTTGATTACATGACAGTGGAGATGCTATGACAGTTGTAAGTGCAAGGACCGGTCATAAGTCATGTTTTTCAGTGCTGTTGTAACTTCAAATGGTCGCTAAACAAACAGTTGTAAGTCAAGCACCACCTGTAATTATTAACAGCAAAGAAACAGAGGATTTTTTTAAACCTGTGATAATTTATTCTTAGATGAAAGGAATATATCTGTGCATGATTAGGATATTCTTGCCCAGAAACAGAAGGTAGAAATCTGTGACTTAATACATACACCTGATTATGCAATAGATTATTAACAACAGTGGTGGGACTCATCTCCAGTGGGGGAATGAGTCTGCCTATTGAGATGAGGTGGACCGGTTGTTTTCATGGTGTGGAGAAAATAACTTGGTCCTCAACACCAATAAGACCAAGGAGCTTATAGTGGATTATAGAAGGAACAGATCAGACATCCAGCCCTTGCTTATCAATGGAGACCGAGTGAAGCAAGTGGCCAGATTTAAGTTTCTGGGTGTTACCCTAAAAGAGGACCTGACCTGGGGTGCCCACATTGCAGCCCTGGTCAATAAGGCCCAGCAGAGATTATATTACCTGAGACTTCTGAGAAAACAACAACTGAATGAAAAACTGCTGGTGACCTTCTACCACTGTACCATAGAGAGTACCTTAACTTACTACACCTCTGTATGGTTTGCCAATTGCCCAGTGGCAGATAGGAAAGCACTCCAGAGGGTTAACGTCATTGCCCAGAAGATCATTGGTTGCCCTCTCCCCTCTTTGGAAGAGCTTTATAGCTCCCGCTGCCTCAAGAAAGTTCAAAACATTCTCAAAGATCCATCTTATCCTGGCAACTCTTTTTTTGAACTATTACCCTCTGGCAGATAGTACAGAATAATAAAAACTTCAGTTTAAATTCTATGGATGTTTCTGGCAATAATATGGATATGGATTTCCATCTTTTTCTGGGATATTTTTTCAATTCCCAAATTTGCAGCCCAGGGATTCCCAGGAAGTCCAAACACAACTCGGCTTAACTTTGGGGAAATTTGCTAAGGTTTGATGGTTGTGCTATATTAAAAATAGTTCTCCTCCTCTCCCTCCCTCAGATTTTATATCATTAACTTCTCTCTGTCTTGAAGATCCACTTGAATGCTAACCTGTCAACTCTTCACAATGAAATGTCCACCCTTCAGGCAGAAGGTATGAAGATGGACAGCCAGAATGGTGCCTTGCTAGGTAAAGCGTTAGATTATTATTATTATGGTTCACTGCAGAGTCAGTGAGATGTTTAGACTAGATTTGGCATTTTTATCCACCTATTGAATCCTTCCCAGCACAGGCAAATGTTACTGTTTGATGATGTATTATTACTATTATTAAATTTTATTTGTTTACCCATCTCATTGCCAGGACTCTGGGCAGTGTACAAAGTTTTTAAAAAGTGACTAAAAATATAACTACAGAAAGCCATTGAAGACATTAAAATGTCTTTTTGTACTTATGTTATGGATTTATGTTAAAAATCATTAAAAAAAACAACAGTTCAAAGTTCTTGGACAATGAAATACATGCAGAGAATAAGTGTGAACTGGTAAAAGATTCTATCCTGGAATATATTACTCCGATTTTGCAGGCTTTCTGCCTACCTGACTATAGTTCTTTTTTAAATTTTATTTAAAAAGTAAAATGGGACTCTGACAATATTTTGAAAAATAGAGATGACCTTCTGCCACATATCCACCAGCCTTTACAATTTGGTGTGGCCAGGAGTGGGATACAGAACATCAACTAACATTCCAGGTACTTAATTCACCCATTTGTGGATTCACACAATACATGGAACTATGAATTTATTGCATGGCCTGGTTTCATAAAACATTCAAAGGCACAACAAAATAAGGAATGTTAGAATCCTAGGCCTGAAGGGTGTGATGTGGTCTACTCACTGCTCTGTGCAGAAAGCCAGATGAAAATAACCCTGGTCTATCTGTCTATCCCAATGTTTTTCAATCTTGGCAGCTTTCAGATATATGGACTCCAACTCCCAGAATTCCCCAGGGAAAACCACTTTTTCAGAAGTGGTTTGTCATTGTTTCCTTTCTAGGGCTGAGAGAATGTGTCTGACTTAAAATGACTCAGGTGTCTTGTGCCTAAAAAGACTAGGAGAATTCACAACCTCCTGATTTCTTAACCACTAATCGCTTTAATCAATCTGAATCTAAGGAGTTAAGTTTCTCTTTCCTATCCCCTGAAGTGGAGATGACCAAACTTGAAGAGAAACTGGACGAAGCAATTGGAGCACGAGATGTTGTGGAGGCAGAGAAAGGACACTGTGAAGCACGGGAGAAGGCCCTCCATGAGAGCATGTGAGTAAAATGATTAGCTCTAAGTCGGGGTGTCCAACCTTGGCAACTTTAAGACGTAGACTTCAACTCCCAGAATTCCCCAGCTGACATGGCTGATTGGAGGATCCTGGGAACTGAAGTACACAAGTCTTTAAGTTGTCACGGTTAGACATCCCTGCTCTAAGTGGACTCAGAAAAATCGAAATTTCTCCATGAAGAAGAGCCTTTCTTGTGTCATCACACAAAAGGGTTTGTGAAAGAAAACCTTAAACAATTTTAGTTCTTCTTCATCCTTTGCCCAAAAAGATTCCATTGCAGAGCACTGGAGTAGGAAATGAAACACAACTCCAAATCAGTGGTGGGATTCAAAAACTTTTACTACCGGTTCTGTGGGCGTGGCTTTGTGGGCATGGCCATGTGACTGGGTGGGCATGGCTTTTTTGCAGCCCCCACCCATTTTTAGGAGCTTCTTAGCTACAGAGGAGCCTCTGGGGGAGGCGTTTTTGCTCCCCTAAGGCTCCTCTGGGGCTCAGGAAGGAACAGAGCATGGGAGGGGCATGCAGCATCCCTCCAAGCTCCGTTTTGGGAGCTTCCAACCTCAGAAGAGCCTCTGGGGGGACGTTTTTGCTCCCCTAAGGCGGCTCTGGAAGGCAAAAAATGGAGGGGGGGGCTGAGCTCCTCCCTCCAATTTTTGCCTTCCTGGGCCTCATTCAGCAAGGGAAATCCCGGCACAACTGATCTTATCTACAGCTGATTATTGGGGAAGGGAAAAAAAGAAAGAAATACCTTAGGTGAAGGTCAGGCAGGCAGGTGGGGTGAGCGAGCATCAGGCGGAAGGGCAACCGGGTGGGGGGGTGGCCAGCCAGAACTTACTACCGGTTCGGCAACCCACACCAAATTCTTGCTACCAGTTTGCCCAATCCGGTGCAAACCGACTGAATACCACCACTGCTCCAAATATATTCCACTTTTTTAGATAGCAGGTGTTGTGCTGACAAGCATCATTCTTCCTCTTGCAACATGTAAAAACTCAAAATATCACAGGATTATTGAATCTCCTGAGAATACAGGAATTTCATCCTGCTTCCTTTGCCCAGGATTTGCTGGATACACTTAAAATCTTGCAAAATTTCAAGAGAGAACACAATCCCACCTTGTGAGATTTCGGCAAGCTTCTCTCTCTTATTATTTGGTTTTGCTTTGGAGAAAGAGTAGAAATCTGGTGTGTGGGGGGGGTTAATGTCTGTCTCCTGAAAAGCCATTTAAAGGGCTTATTGTCAGCTGCTCCTTTCAGAAAGTGGGGCAAGGAGTGAAAGGGACAGGAAAGGCAATGGAAATAAGGACATTGAACTGAGTTAACACTGTGTTTCCTTTCCAGGTTCCAAATTACAATAAAGACAGACAGACAGACATAGAATATCTGTTGTTCAGGATTGCAATGTGGGATCCCTGTTGCTCCCTGAGCCTGATTATTTGCTTGCAGGTTTTTTCATTGCCCAAGTAGGTTACATCATCATTGTGAGGGAATGTGGGGTTTACTGCTTATTTATATGTATTAGCTTGCCCTGCCACAATGGATGGATCGATGGGCGCCCCAAAGGTGCTTTTTCAAGAGGCAACTGGACATTCTTTCTTTTTCCTTGAAGACATTGTCAAAACCTGAAGAAGCTTCTTGGGGGAGAAGCAAAACGTCTTCAAGGAAACAGAAGGTCCAGTTGCCTTTTGAAAAAGCACCTTTCAGACAACCATGATCTGGATGACTGAGAACCTCCATGGATGGATGGATGGATGGATGGATGAATAACAGGGTATTTATATATCAGCAATACGGAACCTGAAGGCCTCAGGGGCTTTGCCAGTCCCATGCATCATGTGATAGGGAACTGCTTTCTTTGCCTAAGAGTTTGGAGGACTGTTGACAACCTAAAAAAGGAATCACAGCTAAAGAGAGAAGTCAGGGGAACAATCTGGCTATTGGGGTACCTCCAACTCAAGTGACCAGTTAGAAACCTGGTTGGGCCACTGACCCCCTTGCAAAGTTCCAGGGGGAAGGTCCATTCATGGCCTTGTCTGAAGGAGCTGCCTCTGGAGCTGCTGCAGCAGTCAAGAGCCAGTAGTGTTTCCCCTTTCACTGATACAGATTAACAGAGTTGGAAGGGACCTTGTAGGTCATCTAGTCCAATCCCTCCTACCCAAGTAGATCCATTTTTGACAGATGGCAGTCCAGACTCTTCTTAAAATCTTCCCGTGATGAAGCTCCCACAACTTCCAAGGGCAAGCTGTTCCATTGGTTGATTGTTCTCACTATCAGAAAGTTTCTCCTTATTTCCAGGCTGAATCTCTCCTTGTTCAGTTTCCATCCATTATTCCTTGTCTGGCCTTTGGATGCTTTAGAAAATAGTTTGACTCCCCTTCCTCTCTGTGGCAGCCCTTCAAATATTGGAAGACTGCTATCATGTCTCCCCTGGTCCTTCTCTTCACTAAACTAGCCAAGCCCAGTTCCTGCAACCGTTTTTCATATGTTTTAGTCTCCAGTCTGTTTGCTAATCATCCTGGGTGCTCTTCTCTGCACTCTTTCTAGAGTCTCAACATCTTTTTTATAGTGTGGTGACCAGGGATGCAACCTGTTCACTGCCAGGTTGCTGGGTGGGCATGGCCATAGTGGGCCCGGTCTACAGGAACTTCCTGTTTCCAGCTTCTGGTGGGCCTCCAGAGCCCGGAGAGGTCATTTTTGCCCTCCCAAGGGTCCAGAGGCCTTACTTGGGCCTCTGGGAGGGCAAAAACAGCCTCCCCCTGGCCTCTGGAGGCCCTCTGGAAGCCAGAAACAGGCCCGTTTTGTGACTTCCAATTTTTCTAGGAAGGACGTTTTTCACCCTCCCAAGGGTCCAAAGGCCTCTCCCAGGGCTCGGGGGGGGGGGTGGAAACAGCCTCCCCTGGGCTCTGGAGGCCCTCCGGAAGCCAGAAACAGGCCTGTTTCCGGACTTCCGGAAGGCCCGTTTTTTTCCCCCTCCCAGAGCTTCCATGAGGAACCTCCACTTACCTGCATTGAAAATGGGGTGTGTGGAGACTCCTGGAAAGGGAGGGGCAGGAAGGGGCGGTCGGTTGAAATACCGGTTCGGTGAACCAGTCCAAACCAGTAGAATCCCACCCCTGGTGGTGACCAAAACTGGATGCAGTACACTGACGTGTCTTCTTGCTGTTTCCTTCCAGGCACAGCTACCTGGCTGAGATCGCTTCCCTCCAGCAACGCCTGCAAGTCCGTTCCTCCTCTGCCCACCGCAGGTGCCCCCCCTTCTGGTACTTATTGTGGGGACTGGCCAGTTTTTGCATTCTTTTCCGGCTCGTAAGTTTGGAAGCAGAGAGAAGGGGTCTCTGGGGCAACATTGCACAAGGGTGGTGAGAGTCCCCAGGAGGAGGGGGAAAAAAAATCTAAGGAAGGGTAATTGGAAAACAGAGGTTACCTCTGTGTTGTTGGGATGTCAATTAGTAGTGATGGATGGCCTTGAAGGGAACTAGAACCTGGAGCTCTCAGCTGAAACTTCAAAGCTCTTTGCAAAAGTTCGTTTTGCAAAGGAGTTGTTCATTTCTGTGAAATCTGCTGTTGTGGGAGGGAAAGAGACAGAAAACAGCAAACGGAAAGTAAAAAAAGGGGGGGAAAAGGAAACACTAGAAAAAGAGAAGAACCAAAAAGAAAGGGATCTGCCACCCTTGCTTTGGCTCCACCCACCCCTTGCTTTGGCTCCATCCATCCTTGCTTCTGCCCCACCCATCTTTGCTTTGGCTCCACCCACCCCTACTTTGACCCCACCCACTCCTGTTTTGACTCCACCCACTCCTCATCAGCTGATTTAGCCCCACTCATCAAGACAGTGGTGTGCAATAATTCCAAAATATTTTGTTTGGCAGAAAACAATTTTCCCCCTCCAGGCCGAATAGAATAAGTAATTCTGTATGTGATTGGATCGGAGTTGAATGGGACCACTGAGAACATCAAGCCCACCCCTCAGGAATCCAAGATCCTCTCCTTGCACTCTTCTTCCATTTTGGCTCTCCGTGTTTTCTTGCTTGCTTATTGGAATTTTGTCATTTTTGTCAAAGAACTGACACATTTTTTTCTTCTGGTTTCTAATCCAAAGGCTACACCAAAGTGTCCTTTTTTTAGCCTCTTCTGCTCTCATTTTATTTTCACCGCAATTGTGCTTTCAGAGTTTCCTCTTTTAGAAACGCTCTTATTTCAAGTGTTGTTTTTTCCTATTACCTTCTCCTGCCTTGGAACTCTCATTATCCTTGCTGTTAGTATGAAAATCTGCTTTTCTGGGGTTCACCATTCACTGTTGACTGCTCAGTTTTTAATTCGCTTTAAAATCAAGAACTCCAACGGTCTGTGGCCTTTTCTCCCCTGTTTTCCTTCTTTTTCCATTTAATCAACGCAGTCCTCCCTGTAGCTCAGGATCAATTCATATATTCAGATGTCTTATTCCACAATAAATCTTGACAATTAAAAGCCCCTTTTGAAATTAAACCAGGACCCAAAAAGGGGGCTTATATTGACCAAATCCCAAAATAAAGGTGTGTAGGTAGGCTAAATTGAAATTAGCTGAAATGTAGCTAAAATGGAACTAACCAAGAATAAAAGATCAGGTTTCTGGTTGCTTCATTATTATAATAACAAAATACACTGCATATGTTCAAAGAAAGTTTTAAAAATTCCAATTTCTAAGATCTCAGAAGTAATTTCTAATGCATGAGAATACACAGCCGTAGATTCTGTTTATAATAAAGAAACATATTTAATTATATAAGAAAATCAAACACTGAGAAGGTAGCCATATATATATTGAAAGGAAATCCCATTAAATGAGATTGACTTCTAAGTAGATAGCAGGTATAGGAATGAATAGGCTGCTTATTCTATTTTGATTTTAATACCAAAAATCAATCATCAAAGCTTTCTTTTGGAGTTATTGATTCTAAAAAGAGCAGGAAGTCAAATTAATTCAGGGAAAGCTTTTTAAACTCTTCATTTTTGCTAATATTTATTTATCACAAAATCTCCAGAACTGTAAAGCCTACAAACTTGAAATTTGGCACTTATGTTCCTCTTGGCTTCTAGGTGCTCACTAAGAAAGGATTTTTCAAAATGACCATCAGAGCATTAGTATTTTGTATATATTATTATTAGCACACTCTGATGCTAAGGAGTTCTACTCCCCCTCCCCACCTGAAAAGAAATCTGTTCCAAATGCAAAACACAAGCAGAGAAAAGGAGTTTCAGTTTCGGTTTTACTTTCACAGCAGCAACCAGCTTTAGTACCAGCTTTAGTACAGAACTGTTGAGGTAAGCCACACCCAAGCTCTATGCTGTCTCCTTCTTGCTCACACAGCAAATACCCTTTCAGTTTCTAAACAGCCCTCAACTGTCACACACACTGACAGGATGGATACTGAGGATACTGGTAAGCAGAAGCAGAATCCCCGCGACCCCCCCGTCTTATTTTCTTCCCCCAAAACTAAGCCCAACCACATAGTTTTGTAGTGAAGCACGGATATAGAGCTAGTAATTAATATATACAGTACAGTAATGATATTTTAGCTCCTAACCATCTAGTACCTTTGCCAGGCTTACTAAGGTGTGAATTCAAGAAAACTGATTTATGCCATCATAAATGTATGCAAATTACTAAGGTGCTGAGAGAACCTGCTTTTCTGTTATTAGCTCTTGTTATTTTACTTCTGTTTCCTTCTGATTAAACACATTTTTATTATGTTTCAGGAAGGGCTGATCTTTTTCTTCTAAAGCAACTAACCAGCACCTTGGAAAAGATGGGAACCGATGGAAGATTTTTTTTTTCAACCCCTTTCCCCTTACTTTAAAAGAAGAAAAGCAGAGAGACCTTCACAAGACTGAATTGCAATGCGGCTCTTACACATAGTCCTTGACTTAAAACAGTCCGTTTAGTGACCTGTTTCAAATTTACAACAGCATTGAAAAAAAGTGACTTAGGACCATTTTTCACACTTACGATCTTTGCAGCATCCCCATGGTCATGTGATCAAAATTCTGATGCTTGGCAACTGACTCATACTTATGATAGTTGCAGTGCCCCCCCCCCAGGAGCCATGGGACCACCGTTTGCGACCTTCTGACAAACAAAGTCAATGGGGAAGCCAGATTCAACCGTGTCACTAACTTAAGAACTGCAACGATTCACCTAACAGTTACGGCAAGAAAGGTGGTAAAATGGGCCAAAAATGCATTTAACTTATGTCTCATTTAGCAATAAAAATGTTGGGCTCAATTCTGGTTGTAAGTCGAGGACTACCTGTATCATGCTTTCAGGGAGATAGCAAACAGATACAAATGTTTATCTGTTTAAAATGTTTATCTGTTTATCTAAAGATGTTTAAACTGGTGGATAAAAATATATCAGTCTGAAGTTTTACGCTGAATTAAAATCATATTCTACTTAGCTGACTACTTTGTTATATAATTTAATTTCAGAATTTCAGGCCCACTGAGCTCTATGTGTCTATGGAGATTCTCAATCATCCAGGTGATGATTGTCCCAAAGAATTCAAAAGGCAACTGAACTTTCTTTGCTTTTCTTGCAGACGTTTCGCTTCTCATGCAAGAAGCTTCTTCAGTTCTTTTCCACCATTCTGCCAGAACTAAAGAAGCTTCTTGGATGAGAAGCAAAATGTCTTCAAGGAAAAACAAAGCAAGTCCAGCTGCCTTTTGAAAAAGCACTTTTGGGACTGGCTTCTAATTCCCTGCCCAGGGAATTCTGGGAGCTGAAGTCCTCACAACTTATAGTTGCCAAGCAACCTCTTCAACCAATGTTTTTCCAGATGCTTTGCATTCCGATACTCATAATCCTTAAAATTATGACCGGGGATTATGAACTTGAAACCTAAAACGTTTACAGGATAACAGGATGGGAATACTTGTCAAAACTTTGGAAAATTTTAATTGAGGAAAAAAACAGGCCTTGACTAGAAACAGTAGAAACCCTAACTAGAAGTTTCTCTAAGTTGAAACTCATATTTGTGTAATGTTTTCCTTTTTTTATTAACGTAATAATAGAACCTGGAATTCAACTTTTGAAATTACTGGATGGAACATTCTGGACTAAGAGATTCAAAAAATAAAATAAAATCCATATCATATATCATCCATACTTAATTTAGGAAGCTTCTTTTCATGTCCTGTTATGATAGCCTTCATCTAAATGACCATCAAAAGGAATTAGACAGATTGATAGTAGAAAAAATAATGGTCTGTCTGATATCATTAGTTATAAGGAACCTCCAGTTTTAGAGGTAATCTATCTCAGTACAGCACTTGTTACAGGAAGTCAGTATTCTAGGAAACAGAATACACCAAATACACGTAGTCCTCAACTTACAAGAGTTCATTTAGTGACCATTCAAAGTTACAAGGGCACTGAAAAATTGACTTATGACCGTTTTTCACAGTTATGTCCTTTGAAGCATCTCCATGATCATGTGATCAAAATTCAGATGCTTGGCAACTGACTCATATTTTATGACCGTTGCTGTGTCCCAAGGTCATATGATAACTGTTGCGTCCTTCTGACAAGCAAAGACAGTGGGGAAGCCAGATTTCACTTAACAACTGTGGCAAGAAATATTGTAAAATGAGGCAAAATTTACTTAACAAATGTCTCACTTAACAACAGAAATGTTGACCTCAATTGCAGTCGTAAGTCGAGGACTATCTGTAGACTTGTTCAGATTTTGTCCGGTTCTCAGGTCATGTTCTCAATAGTGCAATGCAGGAGCTCTGCAGCAGAGGGCAGTGCATGCTTGTACTATATTCTGTGATTTTATTTTGTGCTGTTCTTCATTTCCCTTAAATCTGATTGCAGCCAGAAACCTTAAAATGACAGATAACTTGCCTTTGGCTCTGTCACAAAGCTCAGCAGGGATGGATTCAAAGATGGGAGACCACCAAGAAGAATCCTAGGGCTGAAGGCTAGACTGAGAAGTCAACCATACATCCCAGACAATAGGAATACAAGCTGTAAGGTTGCCAAGAAAAATACAATTCCAGTTCAGCTGTAGAGAAGACTTTACCTTCTAACTTTTACCCTGGTAACCTTCAGCAAGAAAAGGGTGTTGTTTTGTTAACTTTCTTTCTTTGTGTCAACCTCACCTTCTAATTATGGGCATTTAACATTCCACACTGAGCAAGTAAAATAACTCCATGAAATCTAGCATGTATAAAAAGTATGTAAAATAAATAGGATTAAAGCTAAATATTTTCCCAGTATTGGGCCACATCAACAGCATTTTCTCTCGCCAGCATGAGGCCTTCCTCCGTACGTGTTGTATGCACCATACCATAATGTGAGATGGATTGTTCTTCTCTGCATTCACATAGAGTATCTTCTGTAGGAAAGTATAATATACAGTATTTCTTAAGATTGTCCTTTGATCTTCCTATCCGAACCTGCAGTCTATTTAGTTTTGTTAACTTGAAAAGAAGAGTTCATTTAAAGTTCTGGTCTACCCAGAAATTAGGCCATGCTTTCTAATCGCTTTCGAAAAGAGCAATTGGGATTTCTAAATTGGTACCAGTAAAAAGGCATCAGTGGGCACTTCCACATGAAGCCCCTGCCAGCTCCCATCTTATTCTGCACTGTTTCAAGTAACCCTGAGGAAGTAACAGAACATTCTGATCAAAATGGGAAAGGAAAAAAAAATGGATGGATGGAAAGGTAACCTTCAGAGACGAGGGTAAGGCAACACCATTTGGACAACAAAATCTTCCCACCAGTTCTGATTTAGAAGCCTAATTACAATTTGCTGAGGCTTTGGAATCTTTTCCCATAGCCACACAAGAGGCCAAGATTCCATTAAAGAAGTTTTTTTTCAATGAAATAGAGACGTGAAAATAAGGAAAGCTAATGTTGAAAGGCTGGAAAATGCCTTTCTTCTAAGGATTCGGTTTTCCTGCTGGGAGTGCTCCAGTACAAGGACACAGACAACTGCTTGGAAGCTGGTTTATTCTTCAGGAAGGCAAGAGATAGCAAGAAGTCTGCGTTCCTGGGGCTAGCCATCTTTGTATAATAAACTCCTGATTTTTATACCTTTTCTCCTTTTGTGTGTGAGTGCTTGTGTTTGTATTTCTTAATGTTTTAAATCCTGTCAGGGGGTTGTCTTCATTTCCGCCAGAGGGTAAACTCTGCGGGGTGGTT